TAATGAAAGTAACACCAGAATAATAATAATAATAAAAACACTGGCGTAATGACGATTCAGGACAAGAAAACTGATGAAACCACAGTTGCAGAGAGAGTGACAAGCAGAGTGAATAACGCTGGAGCACTCACGTGAACTGCAGCGCTATTCGCAGTGCTATTCTCCGTTAAGCCTGCGGGCGCGTCAGCAGGTGCTCCTCCCGGTGTCCCCGTCGGTGGAGCAGGTGGAGAAGCGGCCGATGGAGTTGGTGCTTCGGAAACCGGAGCAGGAGTAGGGACCTTAACTGGAGATGGAGACGGTGAACTGACGGGCTCCAGAGCAGGTGCCGGAGATGGAGACTTGCCAAATAGCTCCTCAGGTAGCAACACGCTGTCTATGGTGAGAATGGAGACAGGTGCTGAGTCAAGCACTGTATCCGCAACTCTCGAGGAGCCAACTCCGGTGTGAAGCGTCACATCGTCACCGGCCGATGTGGCGGTCAGATCGAATTTTCCTGCACCGTTAGTGGCCAATGTGGAAATAGCATCTTTGGCCGTCTTCAGTGTCCCCTTAGGAGTGTAGGTTGGCAATGCGTGATACTCTAGAAGCGAGACCACTTCGGCGTTACTTAGCTTGCTCAGATCGGGGACGCCGGCGGCCTTAAACGCCTCATCATTCGGTGCCAAAATGGTCAAACCTTTGTCGAGCGCCGATTGGTAGGTCTTAAGCACGCCACTGGAGACAAGCAAGCTAGCAAACGTTTTGCATCCCGCTTTCTCCAGCAAGGCAGTGATGTTCAAGTCAGACGCAGACGGAGGCGGAGCCGTTAGTAACCCCGGAGCGATAATCGGTGCACTGATCTCGAGGACGGAGATGTTGTACGGGATTTGCTTAACTGATTTGGTGTAGGAGGAATCAAGCTTGGAGCCCGGAGCAGCCGAACCGAATCCAACCTTGCCGCCCTGGAGATCGGTGATGTTTACGAATCCTAGATTTCCAGGGGCATTCCCAGTAGTTTGGTAAAGAGTGGTGGTGAGGGTGGTGCCGTTGGAGATTTGGTGAAGCTTTCCGCCGTCGTAATAGTCGAGAACCACGAGGAGGCTAAGGGCCTTCTTGATGACGGAAAGAGGATGTTTGTCTGCAAGGGCAGACATAGCCCCATTGTTGAGAGCGAGGACGGTGATTGTTTGGCGACTGTTGATTTCGTCGTCAAGCTTCGTTTGAGTGAGGTAGTTGTTGAACTGGGAGTATTCCGGGAAACCCTCAAGCATAGCGGTGATGTTGTGGGCATTGGTGGAGATAGCAACCAGAGAAAGAGTGAAGAGGAGGAGGTGGAGCCTGAGAAATGCAGCCATTGTTGAAATTAACAATTCAGCATACAAAGAGATAACAGGTTGAGGCCGAACTAAAAAGGGACTAGATGGGACTCAGGAGATGAGGGGTTAGGTTCTTTAACTCGAGTTAATGCTTAAACTAGAGTTAGTTGTTGGGAGCAAGAATGCTTCCCAGTCACAGCTGGAAAATGTAAAATGCTTTCGTCTTATTGCTTTCCGTGCGACATTCATAACTGCCCTCTCTTTTTTTATTGGGTAGCTACTTTTCTTAAAAAAATTTAACACAGTAAATAAAATATAAAATTTTAATTTTTAATTAAAATTTTATATATTTTTAAATAATAAAAAAATTAAAATTCTACGATTACAGCCCATCACAGCACAACAAACAAAGCTTAACTATCATAAATTGGATTTAAACGCAAAATATAGCACACAGCTTATTTGGCTAGTGGAATGCACCTTTTGTAAGTAAAATTTTCTTGGCATATTGATGATAATTGATATAAATGAGATTTCTCAAAAAATAAATAAATAGATGTAAACAAATCTTCATTAGGTAAGTAAGTAATTATTGGGATATGCAACACTCAAGGAATAACTCCAATCTTTAATTTAAAAAAAAAAAAAATTGGTGGTGGGGTGGGGACAGTGCCTAAGCAACAGAATATTTTTCTTTTTGGTAATGCCAGGCAGGGCCAGGGTTGTTGCTAACGGTTCCAACGATAATGACGGGTGAAACGGGCTAATTATAACGGCTAGTAATTCGAGGTAGACAATGGGGCTTGTCTCTTGGTTAGGGGTGGGCAAAACCGGTTTCGGTTTAAATCGAAACCGATTTTGAATTAACCGAAAAAATTCGGTTTTAATTTTATGAACCGAAACTGTTAAAAGCTAATCGGTTCGGTTATCGATTTTTATCAATAAAATCAGTTCGGTTTTTATTTTTATTAAATAAATATTAATTAATTATTTTTTTAATAATAAATTATATCTTATCACATATTTTATCATATTTTGTTATATTTTATTATATTAATATATTTTATATATTTTATCTTAATTTCGGTTTTATTTTCAGGTTTTGGTTTTTAAGAGATTCAACCGAAATCGAATCGAAATATATTTGGTTAATATCAAAACCAAAAAAATAAAACCAAAAACCATTAAAACCGAATCAAATTTATTTTTTCGGTTTGATTTTCGGGTAAACCATCGGTTCGGTTTAAAAATGCCCAGCTCTACTCTTGGTAGCGTTGATTCAACGGAAGCAACAGACCTGTTTCCGAAGCCCACGTGGTACCAAAATCGATAGATGGGATCTGCCAACGGCCACCTGAGTGCTACTGCAACATCAATTGCGACTGCGGCTTTTGATCCTGCAGCTGCCAATGGCCACCTGAGTGGGTATTGTTATTCGTGACCATAGAGGCCACGTTACAGAATGTGGGCGTGCCTCCTTGATGAGACGAGGAAGAATTTGACTTCATCTGTGGCAGCCCTTCAAGCCATATTTGGCACAATAAGCTGAGGTGTTGGTACCATTGCCTAAGCATTGGGATTAGAGACCATTAGCTCAGATCTTTGTAGCTAGCTAGAAGCCGAATATATCTTTGCATGGCAACATGTAGGAATAGTAATTTACTTCAAAACCGTAAAGTTTTGTACAGATTATTTTGGTGGGACGAAGATTTTAATAATATTTTTTATAAGATAGGAGTGGAGTTAATTTTTTCTCGTAAAATTCTATAAAAATTTTCTACACCCCATGTAGAAGTGTAAGGATTTATATATAATAAAAAACATATAAATTTATTTATATATTTTTTTATAAATGTATTACTCATTAATTTTTTTCACCAAACTTAATTGATTAACCTAATCCAATCTAACTTAAATTGTTTAACTTAATTTTTTTTCAATTATGATCTTTTCAAACCCAATTCAATAACTTAACTTAACCAAAACATGTATAATAGTTTATGCATTTTTTTATGAATTTGTTGTTAAACTTATTAGACGTATATGACAATGTGTATTTGTTGCAAGTGGTTACTAGATTTTATTTTGTTGCACTATATTGCTTTTATTATTTATCAAGAAAAAAATATTGTTAAATTCTATATATTTAATACTTGACGAGAACTTCAAATATCCGTGAAGATTTATCATTCCTTGTGGGTATAGTGACTCCCTTGTTAAAAATTCATTTAGGAATCTCCATACTTGTTATTAGTGGGGATGGAGATGGGGAGAAAGTCCCTGTCTCCGTGAGGACCTGTTGCCATCCTCAGTAATATGTTCACATTGTTGAATTTTTAATAATTAAAACTGCTAGCTTTTTAAATTGCTCCTCTCACGTGAAAAGGGATAATGGTTGTTAATAATTTAAGTTATTTAGTAATAATTTATTTTTTATAAAAAAAATATTGAATGATATTATATGCAAATGGGATTAATTAAAATAAAAATAAAAATAAAAATAAAGAGCAGCACAATCAGGTTGCGCACATTAAGGAGCAAATGAAAAATCTCAAGATTCCCACCAACATACACTAATCTTTAATTCCTTTCCTTTCGTTTTTTACCTTCTGTTGTCTAGAAAAGTAATTATTTCTTGATGCGCAAGGGACGCTTTTAAAACCCAAAAGAAGCCTAGACTTTTGATAAATGTGTTCCAGTTTATGTAACGGTTATTCAGGCAAATTAAGGCTGTCGGTGGGTGAAAATGTTAGCTGGTCTTAATTTTCTATTGGATGCATGCCATGTGACAATATGCCCCCGTTAAGATTTGAAAGGTATAGATTGATTATTGATGGTCCACTGGCTTCTGTTTGCCTCCGTGCATGGTGACAAATTAGAATATTTAGCTAATTTCTTTTTCTTTTACCTTTTTTAAGTAAGGAATAATCCTTTAGAATCTTACTCTATATGGCTCATTTAATTTTCATTTTTCAGAAAAAGGATAATTACAGAAATGAACATCAGCAGTTCTCAAAAAATAATGAGCATCAGTAGTTACAACTTGGAATAGATTTCCTACAAATATATAGCCTTCTGGTTTTCTTAAAGATAGCTGAGAGATTAGAGGCTATCAAGTATCAATCCCCTGAAACCTAATTCAGTAATTCACTTGTTTTCTCCAAATTTGAATGGTACACAGATACATGACCGAGTTACTAGTTACAGTAATGGTAATGGCATCCCAAGTTCAGTTCTGCTACTAATTGCAGTTAACTTAAGGATCTGCATTCCTAATTATCCAGGGGTGCCCCATGATCTTCTTGAGTGCAAGCCCTTTTGAGGAGTCCTTTACCATTAGCTCAAATGAAGTTTAGATCACTTATTCAAGAGGCTATACTTTTCTTAGTTCTCATTCCATGCATGTCTGCAATGAGAACTTGTGGATATTACTTACCAGGCTGATAAGATTTTTGGCCTCAGCAGATACAGGAGGACTGGATGGGAAGTTCAGATCAGCCTTCATTATCCTGTATGGAAAAATTTGGAATGAAATCCACTTTTCACTATATATAAGCCTGCATCAGAGGAAATAAAAAGGAAAACCACGGTCTTACCTTCTGAATGTATCACTTTGACTCTCAGCCTCAAGTGGAGGAGCACCATAGAGAAATTCATAACAGAGGATCCCCAAAGTCCAGTTATCAACTGCACTATCATGAGCTTTGTTTTCCACCATTTCTGGTGCCAAATGGTCCAGAGTTCCACACGTGGTGTTCCTCTTGCTTCTTGACTGTACAGACCATCCAAATTCTGCAATCTTCAACCGACCCTATGAATTTGTTTTGTCCACAACTGGGATCAATCATGTTCAATAAAAAGGCATAACACATTCTGAAATTCATTATGAATGTCATTCAATTGCAGATGCAAACGTTTAAAATGATCATTGCAAAGTAGCAATTACATAAGAGAGACATTGTACAATATGTTTCTACTTTCTAGCTTTCGAAACAAAAATTAGGGTCTCAATTGAACCTAAGCAACACATCTCTTGAAGACTTGAAGCTCCAGTTTTCCCAATATAGTAGTTTAATAAGGACTTTCTTTTCTGTCATAGACAGTAGGTAAAGCCATCTCCATCTGAACTCAAACTAATTTCCTCTGAGGCATATTATGAACTAATCTCAATACAATATATAAGTTACACTAAAATATTTTGCTATCGATAATGTTGGAAGTAATTAAATTTTGCTTTTAAACAGGCAGAAAGTGATAACACTAGGGAAAACAATTAGCAATTTCAATCAGAAAGTAGACTAACAATGTACTTTTAACAGCAAAAATTTCACTGGAAATCCACCTTCGAAAAGTGAATCAGGATCATACATAAAATGTAATCACTCTCATTTTCAGAATCAGTACATATTTCATGATCAAGCAGCAAATTTTCTTGCTTGATATCTCTATGAATTACATGCTTTTCATGACAATAAGCCAAGGCATTTGTGAGGCTTGCAATGTACTGAAATTCAATTCAAAGCCAAAGGAGAAATTAAACCAAAAGACATAGGATACGCAATGTTCGTTAATTTTCTCAGTGACAAAAAGGAACAATAAGTTAGACACACAGACAAATGCATTGAGAGAGGAAGTTTCACCGTGGCTGCTTGTTTCTCACTGAGGCAGCCATTCTTCCTGAGCTCCTTGTAGAGCTCACCACCGTAAGCATATTCAAGAATCAAGAAAATGCGTTCATTATCATGAAACCAATCATAGAGTCGCAATATATTAGGGTGGCGAAAAATAGTCTGAATCTGTGTTTCTCTCCTTAACTGATGAAAAATATTGTACTTCTCAATCTGTTCCTTGAATATCACCTTCAGCGCCACTATGCATTTGGTCTACAGATGGAAATTCTCAGCAAATCAACACTAAAAAAATCAGAAAAAACTAAGAACAGAACATAATCTATCAGATCGATGGTCAGCGACTCAGCATCACTTCCTCTGTATTTTCTCCGTTTGGTTTCCGAGAAAATGGAGAAAAAGAAATTGAGCAACTCAACCAAGAAAAGCACAGGGAGTAATAGAGTCCGGATTGTGTAAATTCAAGTGCCGGAGTTAATAAGTTCGAAACTGAGATTAGACTTTCTGAGTAACCAACCAGTAAGCAGAATACCGTAACTCCATAGACCCTCCCGAAGTTGCCTCCGCCAAGTGGTTTTCCGATCTCGAAATCCTGTAGGGATCATTGCCTCTTTCAATCTCGTTGTGGCTTTTCAGTTTCAGAATTCATGGATTGAGTCTTTGTTTGGATTGAGGGAGTGCAAGGGAAAGGGGAGGGGAGTGAAGGAGAAGAAGTCTCTCTCTCTTGTTTGGATAATAACATTAAAGGAGGGGAGAGATAGATGGGGGAGATGAACTCTCCACATCTCTTATTTTCAATTTCTCTCATTTGGAGGGATTTGGAGGGTTCATTTATTTTAATTTTTTTAAAATATAAAATTAAAATTTCTATTGTAATTTTAATTTTAGTATATAAATTTATAAAATTTTAATTAATTTTATAATTATTTTTTAATTCATTTAATTAAATAAAAATATATAATCTTCACTTTTCTCTCTTTCCTCTTTTT